GGCTGAACGGGCCCCTCGGACCCTCCAGCGGAGACGGGTGGGTGCTGGCCGGGCTGAGCAGAGCCGCCAGCGGAGACGAGGTGCTGGAGAGGTTCTCCTGAACCCCCAGCGGAAACGGATGCAGAGCCAGCAGGTGCGGGGACCTCTGGCACAGCGGACGCTAACTGTAGCGGCACAGGGCACGCAGCCGGCTTAGGATGCAACGGCTGGGGCTGTGCAGGGCAAACAGTCTGTCCAAAGTTTGTCAGCACCGCGCAGTCCTCAGCTGGCGGAGAAAGCTCACAAAGGCTTTCAGTTGAAGTTGGCAGTGTCTGAATAGGTTGCTGAGCTATAGATTCGGCTGGTGACTGAGCTAACTGAGCTAGAGACGGAGCTGGTGACAGAACAGAAAACTGTGCTAATAACTGTGCTACTGACTGCGTTATGGACAGAAGTGCAAGTTGTAATGGTGATTGCAGAGATGGTGGGCCAACAGGGAGTTGAACTGGTGACTGAGCTGGTGACTGGCTCTTGGCTGTTCTCCTCCGGGGAACAGGAACGGGTGCTGGGCCTGGCCGAACACCAGCCATCCCCGCCCGAGGAACAGATACGGGTGCGGGGATGAGCTGGGCTCTGGCTGCCTTAACCCTGGGGGCCGGTGTAGGTGTAGGACCTAGCTGGACCTCTGTCGCTCCCACCCGAGGAACTGGGACGGGTGCAGGAGTCGGCAGGATCACGGCTGACCTCACCCGGGGAACCGGAACAGGAGACGGCTGGGTGTCCATCAACCCCACCCGAGGAGCAAATACGGGTGCCGGGATGAACGGAGCCTCTGCCAGGCTGGGGACAGAAGCAGGGACCAGCTGGACCTCAGCCACCTTCTCCCGAGGAACTGATACGGGAGCAAGGGAAAGCTGGGCCCGCGCTGCCCTGGTTACAGGAACTGGAGTTGGAGAGCAGAGTTCAGGAGCAGTAACAGACACAGGGAAAATCGAGTTAGTGGAGCTAGAAACAGTGTTAGCGAACAGAGATTCATGGCGGACCACCCCTAGTAACTCTGTAGGCCCTAAGGTGTCCATGTTAGGTGTAGCAGTCTCTAAAACAGTCATTGCACAGGAAGGTCCGGGTCTAGCAGAGTCAGTGTCTGTAATACCGGGCACAAAGGGATCCGTTGCGGACACAGGAGCATTCACACAAAC